TGCTATATGCCAGCGTCTGGTCTCCCAGTCTTGGGAAGGCAGATTTGCTGCTGCTCACCATACTGCCATCTTCCTGGAAGTCTCTCAGTCATTTACTTTTAAGAAATAAGTTGTTGGTCCCGTGAAGCAGTTCACACTCTGGACTCTGGTACTAATTGCTTCTTCCCCAACTCCTGTGCCATCTTGGAGCTGGTAGCTACTCTTGGAGACCTGGATTCAGCTTTCAGCAAGGACATGTCCTTGTTGTCACTGGGGATTTACTGCTACACTGCATTTCCAGGCATCGACTGTCTTCACTGATGCTTTAAAAATGAGATTTATACAAGATCTCAGTAATGAATGTAACTGTACTGTATACCTAAAATGTATCAATAAACTCAATGAGGAAAAAATAAAAAAGAATAAGACTTATCCAGCGGTTCAAGTGTTGGCCTAGGATCCATTGTTTTTTGTTTTTGTTTTTTTGGTACTGGGGATTGAACTCGGGTCCTTGTGCTTGCAAGGCAGGCCACCAAACCACTGAGCTAAATCCCCGGCTTGATCCATTCTTTTTGTTTTTTCCCAGTCCTGGGGATTGAACCCAGGGATTTTATATTGAACAACATCCCCAGCTCTTTTTATTTTGAAACAGGGTTTTGTTGAGTTCTCTAGACAGGACTCGAATTTGGGATTCTGTTATCTCCTGGATCCCGGAGTTCTGGCATTACAGACATGTACCACCACGTCCAGCTTGGCTTTGGTTTTTCTGAGACAAGGTCTCATTGTTTAGTTCAGGTTGGCCTTGAATTCATGACAATCCTGTGTAAGCCTCCTGAGGGCTGGAATAACAGATGTTCACTATCCATTATTTTTTAAGTTTTTGTTATTAACCTTTCATTTAATGGTCTTACCTACCATTGATCTTTTACTATATCCATTATTTATTAGGAATCACTAATGTTAATTTTTCTAATTGCATTGCTCTTTTCTAGGTTTATTGGCACTTTCCCTTCAGCAATTATTTTATTAGAAATAAACAGGAAAGGCATGATAACATCTTGGTTTTTTCCTGCTTACTCATTTTCAAAATTAAGGTTGGCATCCTAGTACCTTCTGGTATTGTTCCTGCTATGAACTCAGGGAGTTTGTAGTGTTTTTGTTTTGCTGTTTTGTTTGTTGTTGTTTTGGTATTAGGCAGGTGGTGGAACCACAGAGCCAAAACCCCAACCCTGGGAGTTTGTATATATAAAGTGTCTCAATTAGTTCCAGTCATTCTTTTTTGTGGGGTGGGGGGGCGGTACTGGGGATTGAACTTGGAACCCTTGCACTTGCAAGGCAGGCAGCAGAACCACTCAGCTAAATCCCCAGCCCATAGTCATTCTTTTTGATATTTCCTTATTTGACTGGCTGATTGATTCCTAGATGTTCTGACACAACTCCAGTTTCTAATAGCTTTCTGGCCCAGTAAGAGACTTTGGGCTTATTTTGTATAGTTCTGCTCTCAGATCTGAAAGCAAGAGTTTTTCTAAGAAGCTTTGGTTTCTGTTAGTGAAAAATAAATTTGTAGAGACCACAAACTAGAGGCCACACTTTTTCTTGCTCTTTTTTCCTTCTCTCTCCCCTTCCTTCTTTTCTCTCACACCAGAGAGATTGAACCTCGGGCTCACACATACTATGCAAGCACAGCTTTATCTCCAGTTCCTCCCTGCTTTGCGGTGCTGGGGATGGAACCCAGGCCCTCATTGCTAGAGAGTCCCGCAGTAAGTCTCTGGTCCCACCTGCCCAGTCTGCAGGCCTGAGAATTAAAACTAAAAGGCAGAGCTAGGAGAAAGTGGGGGCCAGGATGATCAATGCCAGTGCAGCCAACAAAGGCCCTGGACAGTCCTAGGCACTGACCACTGGAAATCAACTGGGTTAAAAGTGAGCTACGAATGGTTTCTATGGAAATTAGTGTAAACAAGGCTCATAAAGGACAAGTTCGATTTAGGAACAGAATAGACAAAATATATGGGTGTAATTAGAACATAGTCCTTCCAGTTAGGTTTTAGTTGTGGGCATGGACCTCAGCACTCTGACCTCAGCAAGCAGGCTTTGGCCAGCCAGACTCATTTCTCAAAACAAGTCAATTGTGGGGTTAACTGTATCCAGCCTGCTTTGGGCATAATCAGAATTACAGTCCTCTGCAACTCATGAATGCACTCACGTAAGTGCTCTCCCTGAGAGCAGCAACCCCACCCATTTAAATTTATTAAATTGCCAAATTGCCCAGGCTAGTTTCAAACCTGCAATCCTGAGTACTAAAGCTGGGACTACGGGTGTGTGCCGCAGGGTCCTTCCTCACAGCTTTTGTTTTGAAATTTTATTTTGAGACCTGATCTTGGCAAGTCACCATGGCTGGCTATGAACCTGTGACCCTCCTGCCTCATCCTTCCTAGTAGCTGGGATACAAGTGTGACCACCACATCTGACTGTTATATCTTAATATTATTGCTTATAGGACTTTTCTGTGCAGAGATGAGCAATGTATATATTTTAAAGTAAAAAATATTCATTTGTACTGTCAGAGTAATATGCTCTTCTCTGTAATTTCCGTAGTTTCAATTGTTGGAAGGTCAACTGTGACCTGAAAATACTACACGAAAAATTCCAGAAATGAGCAGCTTGTGTGTGTGTGTGTGTGTGTGTGTGTGTGTGTGTGTGTGTGTGTGTGTTCTGAGAAGAGGCTATTCATCCAGGCTGCTCGCTCCTGATTCCCCAGGGTAAATGTCTGTCTAGGTGAAAACAGTATAGAGGCTTGGTACAACTTACTGTTTCCGGCATGCACAGGTCGCAGTAGATGAGGGGCTACTATATTTCCAAGTAAAGTTGAAGGTCACTTTTGTTTTCCTTTCTGGATTGCTGGGGATTGAACCCAGGGCCTTGCACATGCTGGACAAACACCCTAGTCCTACCACTGAACTACGAGCCCAGCCCAAACTCACAATTGAAGGTTTTTACTTCTTGGGTTTCATATTAATTATTCTTTATTCTCTATAATATTGGTTTCTCATACACAAAACAACTTTTGTGTGCTTTATCTTACAATGTTGACATAATACTTTCAGAGTCCTATATCCTATTACCTGGGAGGCTGAGGCAGGATTGCTGCAATTTTACGGCCAGGCTGGGCAACATAGTGAGACCCTATCTTACAAATAATGGGAAAAAAGTCCTACTACAATTATTACCAACTCTAAAACTATGAAATGCAGCCTACTAGGGGAATATAGTCAAAATGCTTTTTAAAACAAAACAAAACAAAAAAATGCTAGGCGTGGTGGCGCACGCCTGTAATCCCAGCACTCGCGAGGCTGAGGCAGGAGAATCACTGAGTTCGAGACCAGCCTGGGCTACATAGTGAGTTCCAGGTCGGTCTCAACTACATAGTGAGACCCTGTCTCAAACAAACAAACAAACCAACCCCCCACCCCACAAAACAAAAAAAAACAAAATGCTTTTAAAGTCACTTGGATTTTTTTTTTTATCATTGGCTTGATATATGACTCGTTTTTTGGTAGTACTGGAGATTCTAAGCCTTTGAACTGAGTCACATCTCAAGCCCTTTTACTTTTGATACAAGGTATTGCTATATTAGGCTCCAAGTTCCAATGCTAGTATTGAAACTAAAAGCAGAGGGGTAGAATGTTCTATAAATATCACTTAGGTTGAGTGGTAGGTTTATGTACTATATAACCTTACTGATTTGGGGGTGTATAGTACTAAAAGAGGACTGAGACACCAACTAAACTGCAGACCCTCTCATTACGCCTGTTCCGTGTACTTTGAAGCTGTCACAGTGCATACACACCTTGCTTTGAGGTCTGAAGCAGCCTTTCCTCTAGAGCTAAAGGTATACGCTGAGGGAGCCACACTCACCCACTGCTGCATGCTGGCTGCTGGCACGTGACCCCAGAACTGCCTGGCCACAGTCACCATGTGAAGCACACAGCTATCGCCATGGTAATTTCATTTCCCCCACACTCTCCTGTAGACCACGAGGTGACACAGTACAGTGCCTCCTGAGGTGTGAGTGTGGCTTCCTGTTCAGTGCAGTCTGGAGACTGGAGTACTTGCCAAGGTCCCCACCTCCCAGCCTTTCCTTCCTCATCTCAGTAACAGAAGGAAACAAGCAAGTTTTCATGTTCTCAGCAGCGCGACATAGGAGGCTGCATGGGGCAGGTAGCAGCCTCACTAGCCTCACTTCAGCCAAAGCAGCTCCTTTTGCTTTTGTTTGGTAAGACAGTGTCTATTAGCCCAGGCTGCCTTGAACTCAGAGCAATTGTCTTGCCTCAGCCTCCTGAGTCTGGGATTATAGGTGCACGCCACCATGACTAGATCAAGCAGTTCCACTTGTACTATGGTCAAAGACTTATTTCAAAAATACATTTTGACAGCTGGCAGCAGAGCCCACCCCTGTGCAGTTTCCTGAGGTATGTGGTGAGGTCTGCTGTGACCCCTGCCCTAGTTCAGTAGCACAGAGCACAGTACTAGAGCTGGAAACAGGCCAGACCTCAGTGCTGCCTTTCCCACTGGCAGGGAACGGTCCTCCTAGGCCTGACCTCATATGCCAGGCCCCTCCTCTGTGAGGGTCTGTGCTGTCACGGAGGCAATGTGAGAAGGGACTCCCATCACAGAACCCCCACACATACTTTTTTTTGGCACTGGGGATCGAACTTGGGTCCTTGCACTTGCAAGGGAGGCGCCGGAACCACTGAGCCTTGGCCTCCACAGCCCTCACCTCTTGACCAGCTGCAGTCCCTCATGCTGCATGGCTCCTTCAAGATCCCCACGTGCCATGGCCCATCTGTCCTGCAGGAGTCTTCTCTGCAGATGGAGTGAATCCGGAGAGGAGCAGCAGTCGGGGCTACTTGCCTGAAGAGCCTGCAGCACAGAGCACACTGAGGGGACACACACACTAGCTAGGGGCAGGCACAGCCTGTGGACCACCAGGAGGTGCCAGGATAATCAGTAATAAGGATAAGCAATACCATTTTATTTATTTTGGAAACAACACCCTCATATAAAGCCTGAACCCAAGGCACAATAAAAATGGCCCCCAATATTTTTAAATAGTAGATCTGAAGTCCCTGTAGTTTCTTCTCATGAATGCTTCTGACTGGACAGTAACTGCAAGCTGTACAGAGTCATGTTAAGGCAGAACCGAGCTGGGCTGCACTGGCTTATCTTGTCAGAGCCTCGGTTCTCCCAGCTGTTTGGCAGCTGTCTGAAGTGCCATGCGTGCCTGGCTGCTGTCACTGCTCGTTCTGCTGGCTCTCTGCGGCGGAGGCCGACACAGAGCCCTGGCCCTTGTTGACGTCACTGATGCACACCCACTGGCCATCCAGCGACTCCTTCCACAAGGTCACCTGCAGTCAGAGCACAGTCAGTCAGTTAGCGTGCCCCTCACCCACTGCCCAGCTCCATCTCCATCCAGTACCACGCTGCCCAGAGCCTGGCATACTGGCTGCAGTCCTAGCACTCTGGGAGGCTGAGGTAGGGGGACTGCAAGTCGAACCCTGGGCAATTAGCAGGATCCTGTCTCAAAAACATAAAAAAGCAGGGCTGGGGGTACAGTTCAGTGTGAAGGCTTTGGGTTCTAATCCCCAGTGTTGTATAGGGAGGAAAGGTAAAACAAACAAATTAACCAACCAAACAAAACTCTGTTCAAAAGCCTGTAGGAAAACAGCCCTTACATTCCCCCACTGAAATCTCATTAAAATACAGGTAAAAGAATAAAAACTTTTTTTTTGGTATTTGGGATCAAACTCAGGACCTTAAGCTTTTGAGGCAGTTGCAGCACCACTGAGCTAAATCCCCGGCCCCAAAAATATTTAAACAGAGTCAGATGTTTTGCAAATGGGAAGGGAACCAAGCGATGGAGGGTTTGGGAGGGAGTAGAGGGAAGGGATATAGAGAATGAAGATGTGTTACGTACATGTTCCAATTCCTCAGGATGAATTGTGTACCACAAAACACAGACTGATAAAAATTTTCAAATTAACTGCTGGGTTTGGTGGCACATGCCTGTAATCCCAGCACTAGGGAGGCTGAGATAGTATCACTGAGTTCAAGGCTGGCCTGATCTACCTAGCAAGACCCAGCCTCAAAAGAAAAAAAAAAACAACAGCCACAAAGAATGATATAAATATATGATGCTGTTTAAACTGACATAGCAACAGTGATAGATGTAGGGTGGCCAAGAACAGGGCTCCCCTGATCAGAACAGACCAAGGCCTTGGGTCCCTGGCAGCTGGCTCAGAGAATGGGGTTGGTGGTCGTGTGTTTTACGAACTTTTAAGAATGCTAAGTTTGGGAGCTATTGTCCAGGAAGTACAGTTTCTGTGCTGAAGTGCAGAAGAAACAGCGGAAAACTGGAAAGGTCCCTGGAGAGGAAAATTCAGGAGGCTACATTAAAAAAAAAAAAAAAAAAAAAAAAA